TGACTGTGCAGATCGTTCTCGAGGCCACTCGGAAACAATGTTCAACAATACGGTTTTTGCGGACTTTTGCACCTTTCCGTTCCCTCACCTTCCTTCCCATCGCGGTAACTGAGTGTAACTGAAAACCAATGTCGAAGTGTGTGAATGGAGGGATTTGACTTGCAAAGGGCCAAATGGCTTCAACATGCTTCAACCCTTTTCCATAATTGGGGAAACAAGAATGTTCAAATACAAGCCATTTTTGGACGAACCGGTTGGGGAAAGGGTGAGCTGCCAACCTCCAGTGCAAACATGTGCACACTGCCAATAATGCTTGGATGTTGAACTTTTGAACCTCCTTGCAGACCCCTGTAGGTTTTCGAGACTGGGAGATGTTGATCTTTAAACAACACCTAGAGACTTAGCGCAAGATGAAATGGACATTTGTGTGTGGTTTGCGCCATGCGTGGGGCCCCCCTGAAGTCACTCCAAAATCAGGCCCGAGTACTTCTTGAAGCCTCCATGAAACGAAGCCCAAGTGTCGAATGCACACATCGTGTGTCATGATGGCAATGTAGACTCTTTAATTACTAAAACCCTTTGCTTTGAGAAGAGGTTTCACCGTCCCAATCGCTTTGATGAATGCATTTACGTCCCAAAAGGATCGGTCGAGCGGCCTTGACTCTCAACATGGGAGCAGCCAGCATGGGCCGTGTAAAGAAGCAGCCGCGGGCCAGCCTAGCATGACGGCCATGCTGGTGAAAAATGCTTCTTGTGCAAGCTGTGAAGAAGCATGTGTGAAGCCGAAGATTTGGGCATCAAATCCAGGGATCAAGTGAGCAACAGTGATCACTAGAAAAAAACACACAATTGATCACAATTGGATACAATTGGGACTTGGCGGGGGAACAAGGTCTTTCTTGAGATCTTTCCTTTCAACCACTCACTTGGCCTGCGGTCCGGTTGCATAAGGATCATGGTTCGACCCCTCCAAGAGTCAAAAGCACGCCCACAACCCCTTCTGGCAAGCGCGCTGACGTGCGGAGCGCATTGCTCCACCCGCTTCGCTTCTAGAGGGCGGTTGCTTGTTCTGTAGTTTCTTCTTATTCTTCTTAAGGTCGAACCTTCAAGCCTTTCTCACATTTCCCTGGGCACCGGAGCGGTTGATGGTTCACAAACCCTGGACCAAGTTCTTACCAGTGGTAGGGCCCATCCATCATCCTTCAATTTTTCATGGGTACCCTCGCACCTTCACCTCATGATGATACATCGTAAGACCTGCAAACTGCCCTAACCCCCAAGCCTCGCTCTCTTCCGACAAAAGGATGCGTCACGCGCATTCCGTCGCCACTGCAGCATGGCCTGCGGCCAAACACCAGACAGGCCAGCACCATCCCCTCTCTTTCGGGAGTGTCAGTCTTTGTGTGTGTATGTGTCCCATGGCCAAGGGCAGAAAACAAGCGCCTCAGCCTTACAGGTGGACTCCACTCATTTTGAACATGGACTTACTATTTTCATCTATTTTCTAAATCATCTAAATCCAAAAGATTTGGGACCTCTGCATACAAACTCGTTCTTAGCATAGCGGATGAGGCAAAACTCTCATGCTGAAACCTGTGATGTCTTGGCATCCTCAAGCAGGCAAAGTAACTCGCAAAGCCACCAGAAGAATTGGCATGTACCATGCACATTTTCTTGCTTGCCAGTTCAACAAGCTAATCAATAGTAAAATAGTAATAGGAATATGTTGCATTCACTGTTGCTTTGAACTCAGAGCATCCATTTCGAAAGTTACTGAGAAAAAACAACAGAAAAAAAAGAGCAAAGCACATCTAGGCACTCGGAGCTTTCAACCTCCCGTCTTTGCCCAAAGAACCAACTCCGAGACAACCCATGGATTCGACCTAGCAAAAGCACACATGCGTATACGGTGCCGTTGGTTCGGCCGCTGGTCTCGTGCCTTCCGGTGCACGTAGAGCCGGAAAAAGGACATGGACTTCAAGACCCGGTACCTGCCGGAGCCGGCGGGTTCGCACGCCGCGCGCGCGCCGCGCGGGTCTGGCGGTCTTGGACTGCGTTGAGGGTATCGCTCGTTGGGTCGTCGGGTGTCCGGTTCCACGAACATCCCCGGAAAGCCGGAACTCCCCAAAACAAACGGCGCAAGCAAAGGTGGGGGGAAGGTCGGCGCACATCATGCACTGATGCACCCATTCCGAGAGACGAATGCACTCTGAGGGCTGCCCTGGCCTTGGCCCAGTTGCGCATCTGTGGAAGGTGAGAGCTACGAACACAGGGCTGGAAGTAGCGGGACTGAGTGACTCATCTTCCATGGCAGCATTGGAAGCAAGGCTCAGTCAACTTGCTGACCAGGAAGCCCCTGGAGGCTAGACTTTCGATGTTTTAATTTTTCCCTCTGCCCTGCAACCATTCTTCACTGTCAAGAGGATGGCAAACGTGTCAACTGGAACGTTCACTTCTTCCAGGTCCAGTCCGGCTAGACCACATAGGACCGATAGGACCGCACACCGATCCACGTTCGGACCGGAGACGCCCCCCCGTTCCGTGCTCGCTCGGCTGCTTCCGGGCTGCATCATGTGCACGACTCCGCTGGGTGTGATGGTGAAGTACTCCATCTCCCGCTTGATCCGCTCCTGCGGGAGCACGGCGTTTTCGGCCGGGATCGTGGGCCTTTGGGTGTGCGAAGACCAAGCAGTTCTGGATGATGTGGATGGCTTCAACTTATACTTGAAAATGATCAGCTTACGTGGGATCAATCATCTCAATGTAGAGGTTAAACAAATCAACATCTCCGAAATCACCCCGAGAATAGAATCCAACGGGCACCATATGACTATATCAGGAAGCTGAATCGTCATGTCGTCCAACAACTGGGATAACTCGACTCTTCACACAATTTCAAGTGGCTATGGGAGTCGGAGTTGTAGCACTCTGTCGCAGCTACTGAACAGCCAGCTATGCTTAAGATTATGAAGGCTTATACCTTACACAACCCTCGAAAGAAGAACGTGCCTGAACACTGAAACCTCATGGCCGTTCTACAGCTGGTCGCAAACGATGGCTCAGCTTGGGGACAATCGATCCAGAAACCCTAATCTTGCCACTGGTCTTAGTCGACCAACTTCTTTACGTTGATGACCAGCAATTGAGCGGTTCAAAGGCCTAACTCCTGCCTGAACGAGGACGTAAACCGAACGTCCAAGGTGCCAAACAATCCACAAAAAGCACGTTACACAGCAAGCCTCAAGTCAGGACAGCTCCCCAAGCATGAGGGCCTTCAGTATACCTTTTCATCCTTGACAACCTTTCCCAGTTTTGTTCTCAATATATACTCGAGCATGGGCTCCCCTGCAAGTCCCCGCTCCCCAAACAATTAGGAACAATATGAAACAAGCCAGGATCCAGCTGGATCCAGCGCTGGAACACGGCTATTCACCAAACTTGTGATGATGATCATGATGATTCTATACCAGTCTATACCCCTTCTACCTATCGCCTTCTCCCAAATGTGACACTTCTGACTCGCGGTGCCTATGGCCGACTTCCTCCCAGAATGGGCCTCTGGAATCACTAGAAGATCGTAGGGTCCGCTCTCGCACCTTGGAGGAGCGATCTACGCCGCAGGTCGCTTCACGGAAGCCAAGGAAGGCCTTGGGGATCCAAGAAACAGAGATGAAACCAGAAACGGAACCTTTTGAAACCTCGAGCCAGTGCAGGAACGGCCAAAAAGCATCAAACAGGTTCCTTTTTGTTTTTCCGAGTCCTGGAGACTGGTTTCTTTTACGGACAGTGGATGGTTCAATGGGGTCTCTTCGGTCACTCCGCGCCGCCGAACCGGTGGGTTGGAGGCCGGGAACCCCGGTCCCGAGAAACCTCGACCTCGAAGCGAGGAAGAAGCGAAACGAGGCCATGGAGCCACTGGAAGAATCAATCTGGCTGTTTTTTGTTCAGTGAAAATGAGTATGCAGCAAATCGAAAGGGTTCCAGTACTAGATCGTTCTAATTGTTCATCAACCATGAGCTCACACCCCTGCCGACCAACCACCTGGAACCTGGTTGGGGACCAGGGCGCGAAGCTGAAGCATCCGGGTGCGACCGGGAGGACCCGGTCGTGCGGTGCACGCAATGGATCAGCTTCAGTTCGGTATTGGCACCATGCCTTGCCCCGGCGTGACGGCTCGGACCCCGGTGGACGTGCATGGCTGGGGCAGGGCACTTCGCCATGAAAAGAACATCCTTTTGATGAAGGAAGACCTTCCAGGACCACCTGTTGGCACTTGGCCCAAACGCCTTCTCTCTCTCTCTCTCTCTCGCACTGTTCCTTGCAACATCTCGGGGCCTGAGTTTCAGCAGTCTTATAGGTCCACCCTTCCGAAAACGCTCTTCGACCGCAGTCAACGACTCACCTCTTTTTCACGCCACGCATGTCAGGTCAGGAACGGGATGCGGACAAACCCCAGCATGTCAGGGCGAATCCCATCTCCCTTTTCGCGGAGCTCCAGCCTGGAGAGCACCTTTCTTGGGGTGGATTGAGAGTAGAGGGCCGTGTAGAATTGGAGCTGAAAGCCATCTTGGTTTGTGTCTCTACATCCTTGGCCTCGGTGATTAAATATCTATGCCTGTGCTGCTCTATTATCTTCTGGTACTTGGATGACCCCGCGGTCTGCAGTGCTCTTTTGAGTTAAACTAAAACATACTCAAGCAACTGGAGAAGGATCAACGCGAAGCTTCTCAACAAAAAATCAACAAGCTGCACCTAAAGTTCCTGGGCTTTTGAAGTTTTCACGTGAGTCACACGAGTCCCAAGAGGCACCAGTCTTGAGATTCCAGTCTCTGTGCAGCAAAAAATGTCTCCAAATACTTAGGAGATGACATTCCCAGCAAATGGCAAATCTGAAGCTATCTTAACTTGGCATGTCCATAGGTCCTTTGCTAGGGGTTTAAGCCTTTTAAAAGTAAGTGATCTAGTACATCCCTTCTTTAAGGCTTTAAGGTAGACTAAGGAGGGTCTAAGAGTCAGTACCCCTGAGGAAAGTCCATGTTTTACTGTAGGGAGGTGAGATCACCCTGGAACTTCGCCGAGTTGAAGGGTTCAAACTCCTCCGCTTCCGGTGAGAGTGAGGACACCTCCGCTCTCAGGTGCCTTGGTTCGAGCTGTGGCGCCGGGAAGTCCTTGGAGAACACCTCGATCTAACGACACCATGTCTACATGTTTTACTTAAGGCCCCAAGGGTCCAGGACCATCCTGAGGATGCCCTTTGGCCCCGGAAGTACGTACTCACCTCCAAGACCATCCTCAGGAGGACTCTATGGGATGGGAAGTGAGTCAAGCCCCTGTGCCAAGAGGAAAGCAATTAGTCTTACCAGGACGATGTTGCACTTCCATGTGATGCGTTCGTCAGAGTGTGTAAATTGCGTTGAAGGTTGGATCAGGATTCATGTCCTCATAACACATGTGGAATCTCCAATGTGGGTTTTCAAGAAGAAGGTCTTAAATGTCGACTTGAACGACAATTATATACCCCAAACACTCCATGTATGCCATATATACATATATATGCCATGAGAATACGTTGACCCCCAAAACCACCCCCTCCCCCCCATCCCCACACCGCCCTTGATTTATGCACGTGTTGTCCGCAACACCTCCGCGCCAGATCCGGCCTTCCGATCCGCCGACCTTCCGACCTTCCGAACCACCACCGGTTGCGAAGCGAGCGAAGCAAGTGGCCCGTTGCCGGGTAAGAACTCCGGTGCGTCGGAGGAAAGCAAGGTCGTCTTCGCCTTGAACTCCTCACGCCCGAGGAGTAGGGGCGGGGTGGACCCAGCGGCGTGACGCTGGGGCCGGTGGTCGGTCGATCAGTGGTCCGGTGTGTATATGGTGTGTTGGTCGGTCTTGGCACGGCAAGATCACGGAGGATCAAATCGCCTGATTCTTTCACCCAAAGATCAGCTTCGTGCCGTGCGTGTCACGAGGTTCATATCAATCTCATTCAGCCTCTGTCTGTGTATCACAGAGTAGAATGATGCTTGATGCTGCAGGAGTCCGAAGATCCTCAGCAGCCGAAAGGCAAACGTTGCATGAAACATGTTCAAAATCTCAGGATGTCGTACTTATAATTTTACACTGGAACTAACATGGAAGTGGACAATGGCCCAGAGGTGGAAGACCAGTGTGTTCCAACCACTTCCATGAACTAGTTCCACAGGAAAGAGAAACTGGCCACCGATCCTCAAAGACCTGGCGCCCTTGGGGATCGGAGAATCCGGGTCCACGTCCCCGTGTCACAAAGACCCGGACGGGCTCGTTGTGTCCTGTGCCCCGAAGAGGACTGAATGCCGCGCGAGTTCGTTGAGACGTCTTTTTGTCTTGTTCCTTCCGTTTTTGGCTTCTTGCTGCAGGAACTCCAGCAACACCCCTCTCAGCCCTTGAGATGCTTGATCATCCAGGAGCCGATTTGGGGAATAAACCGTCCACAGACCAGCAGTCCGGCAGTAGTTTTCTGAGTCCCATCCCGACTCGATCATGGGTCTCTCCGCTCTCAGCCCCCGACTCCACTTGTCTGTCCGGGCCCCTACCTGACTTGACTCGTGAATTAGGATCAGGGACCGGTTTTCCCTTGTGAGAATCCGCTGGCGGCTCATTTGGACCCCCCCCATTCAGCTCCTCAGGCACTGAGAAGGCGGGGAAGCTCGGCTGCTTGTTGCGCCCTTTCGCATCGAAGCGCGGAGCCTCGACGCGGCAGGACATTGGGGTGGGGTTGCTCATCCCAGAGGATGAACGAAAACCGCGCCTGAAAATCCCAAGATGGTTTTGGTGAATGCGTTTTGGGTGAATCGGTCTGTAAAGCCATGTAATACCATTCCGTGGGAGGTGCCGGGAGAAGTCTTATGTTCATTCATGCTCGTTCTTGGAGAAGTCGATGCGTACATCGCATGCATGGCAGGCTCCAGGGTCCCCAACCACTGAGTTCGCCCCTGGCGTCCCCGATTCACCCAGCGAGTTCAGGCACGAAAGAAGTCACATTGCAGAACCATTCCGAAGTTCGAAGGTCAACCAAAAAGCAACACACGATCAGAACTCTTTTTTCTTGACTGGGTTGCCTTGGTCTCTCCTGATCTCTTGCTAATCCATCACCCCATACACCCGCATTACCTTCTCCAGGTCGCTGGCTGCTCTGGAGGCGGTGGGACTGGCACTGCCAGGGGCCCCAGGGCACGCGCACGCTCGGCGGCGTTCCGCAGATGAGCTGGGAGGATGCTGGGGGGGGCCGGCGGAATCCTGGACTTTCCTGCGGGCAAGAGATGGCAAGAGCTATAGTTATAAAAGGCATAGGGGTATGGTATGGCAATGGTATGGCTGGGCAGGATGCCGGTGGATGAGAAACTGAGGCTGTTTGCCACTTCTGCAGGGCGAACACAAATGCCCAAAGGGAGAAGAAGGGAAACGGGTTCTTGGCGAGATAAAGAGCTGGCAACCAAAGACAAACAAAAGAAGAACATCTGCTCACTTCAGTTCCAATCTACAAAATTCTGCAAACAGAAACTCTAAGTCTCAAAAACACTTGCTGCATCCATTCTGCCAAGACTCTTCTGGTCCCAGTACAATTCCATGACCTGGTCCATCAATGCATTGTCCAGCGCCTGCCCGGCCGCTTCGATCTTGCACAGGAACTCGCTGCAAGCACCCAGATCCACGACCTTGATACATGCCCGGACCATGAGGGAGAAGGTCTCCTGAACGCAGCGTTCGACATGGCCGACCCTCGGCTGATTGCAGGTCTCCGATCGGTATAGAGATCGACCGCCATCGACTGCTCCAACAAATGGAAGGTCATTGAAAAGCGCACAGCTTGGGGCGATTTCGATGTAACTTGCCCCGGGACTTCGCACCACTTCCAGTCCCCATCTGACGACTCCACTGACGGGTCTCCGGCTGAATCTCCACCGACGCCCGCGAGAGCTGCTCGTAGAGGCTCTTGGCCACACCGGACCTCAAACGCCCAGCAGCGAAGTTCCTGGTGGTGGGGTTCACGGCCTCTGTCCCTGCCACTGCATCCCAAAATGGTCGAACAAAAATGAACCAAACACATCCAAAGGCACTTAAAGACACAAACAGTTGTGATAAACAAACATATTAACACAACAAAATCAGGACACATATTGAACCCAAACACCATGCAACAAACCTGGGATCATCATAGTTGGGCCTCAAAAAATCCATGGTTCCAACTGGGCTGCCGCGGCGCGACTGAGGAAAACACCGGCAGCTGGAACTTTGAAGATGTGAACATGGGGGCCAACTCCATACCCCAACAGTGGTACACCATGGTACTCACCATGGTACACCTGTGAAAAAACGAGATTGCTTGAGAATATGCTGACAGCCTATGCTTTGCTTAGAGTAGAGTCTTAAGTCAAGATTAAGATAAGGCTTGTTTAGAGTAGAGTCTTAAGATACCAGTAAGGCCGTTTTTTTTCAAGCTGTGTTTCTCCGGCCAACGCACAAAAGGATGGTGGAAGGATGTAGAATGTAGACTCTTGATTAATAGACTCTCCTGTTGGAATCTAAAGCCTCTTCATGTGGTCGGGGTTATCAACTGTGCACATCAACTGGTGACTGTTGGAGTCCTTTGCCCTTCTCACATCCCTCTGCAAGAACATGTCGGCACAGGGTGACGGATGAGTTTTCCGGCTCTGAAACGGAGATTTGAGGCTGTCTGCACAATTCTGCACATCTACCATGGTGCATGTAACTGGTGCTACATCTGATGAGGCTCAGTCTACCATCCCGCTCTCCCATCTCCAGGCCATGGCACAGTAGTCGGGAGCAGGGCTCCAGCTCCAAGCCACCGGCCAACACCATCTGAGCCTATCGGGTTCTGATGACCGGTCACGCAGAACACTCGCGCATCTGGGTGGGTGGAATCTGAGTGAGTGCGTGAACTCTCCAAAAATGAAAAGGTTTGAAACAGTTATGGGAAAATGATCATCCGGTTTTTATCTCCCTGTCCACATTGGATGAAGGCAGTTGTGGGGCACGCATGATTACAGGCGATGGGTCCAAAGCGGAGTGCTGATGGCGGAACGTGAGAGTGGTCCGCCGGGTCCGCCTGTTGGTGTCAAATGTTCAGCGATTCAGCGCAGCTCTGGGTATTCTGTCTCCAAAGAACAAAGCCCTCTTGCAGCAGTTTAGGGCCAGAAACATGTTCAAGTCAGAGCCTTCTTAACATTCTGTCTCATGTTTCAAGTCAGAGCCTTTCTTGCAGCTACTCACATGGTTCTTTTGCTCAACGCCAAGACAACCCGATGGACCTCATAGGGACAAGATCAGATCATGCCGCTGCTCGATGCTTCACGTGCCGTGCTCATGGTTTCCGCTTCTCATCCCAGAGACGTCATCTTCCCCCCAAGTGACGTCGGTGCGCTATGCGTGCCAAATATCAACAGTTTCTTACGGATTCTGAGGGCAGGTCTGTCTTTCAGAATGGAACCGGTCTTCTGCTTCTGATACGGTCCTCAACATGGATGGCTTTCTTCGTGCCGGCGCCTCCACGTTGGCTTGCTGCGCCTCCTTTCCAGTGATCGTCGGCGCGGCCGTGGCCTGCTGGTCGGAAATGGGCTTCACCCAAAGGGGAAGATGGCAGACCTGCCTGGCAACCACGGATATGCTTTAAAAAATGGTTCGGCTTAGGGCCGTTAGGGTATTTCCTTCGAATTGCAGGATGTGATCAATCACTGCGTGGTTGGATGTTCCTGGTTGGGTAAGAGGTCAGAATATGAATTGAATTGAGCTTCGTCATCCATACCGATTGACCTGTGACCTCCACGACTCCGACTCGGATTCTTCTCTCCAGCTGCCTCTCGGAGATCCATCTCCCCAGCTGATCACCACAAATCCAGGTCAGAACCGGACCAAGTGTCCCAAACACGACTTTGTGATGCCAGGCTTGCCACTTCCCAACAAGCTTCCAATCGCATAAGTCGATTTAAGTCGTATACCATGATCCCCTCGTCACCTATGCCAATTCACTACGCATTGTATCATCCGCGCATGTGTAATTCTCTGTCTGCTTACAATCTTTACACATGAGAGAGAGAGAGAGAGAACCATGTCCAAATCACATCCGTGTCCCATGGGACTGCCTGTTTGCTCGGCGGCGCCGGCGGCATCCCCACTGGCAAGAAGACCCGCTGCGGCTGTGGGCGGTTGAAGGCCATGAAATTCACCAAGCCTTGGTGAAACCGTGATTCGCTGAAACACCAGGAAAAAACAGCTAGAGAATGCTATAGGCATCTAATTGCAATTGCAGTGTGCTTTCTCTCACGAGTAGTTTGGGCTCCTATGTCATGTTGCCGTTTCCTTCCTTGATTGATCAGATTTGGGATATAAAATATCTGTTGTGAAGTTTTGTTGATCAATCATCTTCGCGACTCAAACACATTGCTCAAAGCACTGCCTTTTAAATTGAGGTCATTTGCTCTGCTACAATTGCTCCGTGCATAGTGCGGCTATATAGGCCTCCACAAGGATCTTTGCTCAGCATCCCAGTTGGTTGGCGCATCCACATGGACATCGCAAATTAAATGCAAATCATATCCAAACATCTAAGCAGGACCCACCCATAGTCCCCAAACTACGAGTACTACAGACTGCCCCACACTGCGGAAGAACAAAGTTTCAGGCATCCGATGGCACCAGTGGGTTGCCAAGCGGCTTTCAAAGCGCATCCGTTTCAAGTCCTCGGAATCTGGGCCGACGCATGGAGCAATGCAGGGACAGCACCAACTCGATTACCGATTGACTCCACAAAACGTCCAAACGTCTAAGCGTTGGATGATGTCGTAAGGATTTGCACCAAAGGCAGTGCTTACGCTTTCCTTACGCCTTACGCTTTCCCAACGCGAACTTCACACCAAAGGGGTTCATGGAAGCGAACACGGAAGGCTCTCGCGGGTTTGTGTCTCCAAACCACAACGTCAGCTTGCCCGCTGCATGGGCTCCAAGAAGTTATATAGTTTGCAAAGGACTCCCTTGAGCTCTATGTGTGACACCATCACAGTCTACTGCGAAGCAAACCCTTCAACTCATATTAAGCCTATATACACATCAATGATATCAATGTTACAATCCAATGCAGTTCCGGTTTTTGCGCCAGCTTGCACCAACGCAACGTGACCCACAGCCTTGACCCAGCAAAATGTTTGAGGGAAGGTTTTGAACGCTACTCAATTGACATTGTTAGCCTTTGGGGAGACCCGCTTCCCGACTGAGGAGCTATGACATGCGCAAAGAAACACAGTGACCGTCAAGGGGACAACACTCTGCGCCGAAACAAGCAACAACCCTACACAACCTTACCATTCTTGGTCTTCCTTGCTGCTACACCCATGGACAATGTAGAACTCCTTGCACCGTGGGAATAGAACGCGTTCAACTATTTCCTCGACAAGGTCTGTAAATTTGTGTATGTGTGTATAAATAGTTTCATTACACTATATACGTAGAAAAAACAATAAAATAAACAACACATCATGCAGTAATGAGGAAAAGGTGCAATCCCAAACTCCCCAAAACACATTGCAATGCAGGAGCACGGAGCATGTCTCCTTTCAAAATTAGCATGCCCGAATATCTCTGAAGCAGCATTTGTTTCAACAATATGTCTCAACTATGATCAACAACACGCCCCGACATATGATTCATTATCATGTTTTGTCATGTTCAACTTATTTGTAGTGCCACCCTGTGACCCTATGACAAAGCCGCCGGCCCCCCCTCCCAAAAAAAACAACAACACTACACTCACCAACACCAAACACAATCCAAACACCTACCAGTACACCAAGCTATGTTCCTCAGCTGAATGCCCCACTCTTGTTGGACCTGCCTTGACCCGAGGACTTTCCCCCCCCACACACGGACCCCGTCTCCCCATCTTCCGGCTCCTCAGCAGGCTCCGGTGGCTTCTGCTTCTCGTCCACCTGTGGAGGAGAAGGTGGCGACCGGGAACGGTATGGGGGGCACTCGGTGAGTCATGGGGGGCTGTTGCAGGTTTTTCCCGGCAGCAGCGGCGCTTTTTCAGCACAGCCGTCCGAAGAGTTGCGCTGCCAACATGGGTCATCTAGCTGACCTGCATTACGGGAGCTTGGTCTACGGATTCCAATTGCCGGGCCTAATTCTAATCCTGTCTTATATGAATGTCATACTCATACTAGTTTCTTATCATCCATCCATCCATCAAACCATCCATCCATCCAACCATCCATCCATCCATCCATGCATGCATCCATCCATCCATCCATCCAGCCATCCATCCCTCCATGCATTCATCCATCCATCCATCCATCCATCCAGCCAGCCAGCCATCCATCCCTTCGTCCGTCCGTCCGTTCGTCCGCCCACATCCATCCACATGCATCTCCATCTCCATCCATCTCCATCCAACTCCTTCCACCCCCATCTATCTCCATCCATCTCCATCCATCTCATTCCATCCCCATCTATCTCCATCGACTCACTTGCGCGTTCCCGCCTTCGACTCACCGGCCTCGCGCCGAGCATCGGACGCGACCCGCGGAGCATCTGAGCGTCGTTGGTCGTCCTCCCGGCGCTCGCGGCGGCCGTCTTCGCGCTCCCGAGGGTCCTGGGTGGGAGGACTGAAGCTTGGGAGAACTTCTCCTGGTGGGAGGACCTGGGGAACGTGATAAAATTTGGTGGGAGACCAGGGTGGGATGACAGTCCTGGGTGGGATGTTTTTTTGGGTCTGGTTAAGCAAATCTTAAGTGATGATCTTTGTCTGAAACTGGTCAGCTTTTGGAAGTCTACATTGTTATGTTGTAATTTTGAATGATGGTGTATGATGGTTTACTAAGTGGCCTATGGTCCACGTAATTGGGGTCCAGCTGATGATTCGGAGGTCCGTCATTGGCCACCCTGGTTTCTTACCCACCCTCCAGGATGGAGCATCCCCATCTCCCCCCAAAAAAAAAACGGTGCGGCCCAAGACACGGGCCGGAGCTTCTTGCCCTTGGTCTTCGGTCGCTCCGGCACCTCTGGCTTTTGGAAGATGAGCGGCGCAGTCTCAGCGGTGACCACCACGAGATTGCCCAGCTCGGAAGGCTTCTCACAGCCTTTGGTGAGCTTCCTTGGTGCCCCCAGTGCTGGCTCGCAGTGCCAAATAAATCCCGGCGGATGGAAAAAAACCGCACGAGCGGTGGTGATCAAATCTATCATGATGTGAGGCGTCGGAAAAGAATGCAAAGGCCCGCGTTTTGAATGTGTTTGTTTTTCTGTGAAGTCGATTGAACATGAAACTTACTAAGGGGAATAAAATCACTGTGTTGGAAATACGTTTTTTTTAAAGGCCATTCTGATTCTGTTTTTGGAGGCCAACATCGCGTTTCGCGAACCGCACAACGAACCCCGTCGCCCCTTGAGACTTGGTTCAACGCTGGACTCGACCGAAAATGGCGACGAAGCTGGTGTGTTAGGAGGGCCATTGACATACACTTCCAATTGCGGATTGAATCCACTTCCACAACGGGTCGCCAGATTGGATACACTTTTTGTGCCCATGTCTTCTCAATCCCGCTTGTGTGGACTTGGATTCGGCTATGGATCAAGGCGACCACGGTCGCGAGCCAGTTCCGGACAGAGTCCGTTCCGGAGAAAAGCAATTCAATAGCACGTGCAACGTTTGTCACTAGCCCGACCCCACCCCCACGTTCTCGTAGACGTGAACATCATCAACATTTTCACAACTACATGTCATGTTTTCAAGGCGTTAGCAAATTATACATGACTAAGTATATTGCATATGGCAAAGTGACCGCTAATCAAGGGTCCAAGCGGTTCTTGCCTAGGAGCAAGGACACTACTAGGGGCTACTGGCCACTCTCCTGGCCGTACTACTAGGAGCAAGAAGCTACTAGGAGCAAAGGGCATCGCTACTAGTAACAAGAAGCTACTAGGGGCTCCTGGCATCTATAGGTTTCATCCGAACCCCTTGAGCCCAACATTGACACGTATCGCCCGCATCGCCCGGTGCTGATCGCTGAGACGGCCGGCCCAAGTGTCCAATGTCTAAGCAGCTCGTCTTTCTCATAGGAGGGTCCCCAGGAAGAGAGCCAAGCGTCAATCCTGAGTGAAGCGTGAATCAGTACCAGTACTTCAACCATTCAACTGTACTTCCACAGAATCTTCCACCATCGCCCGGTTTCGTGTGGCCCTTTGCATCCTGAAACGATCTGAAGGTCTAGTCTATTAGGGAATCAGATCTGGGAATCTGAGTCAGGCTTTTGAATCGAAATTCTGCCTTCTAGATACAACTCTGAGTGAGGCTGTGCCATGGGAGTTATATAGCTAGATGTTGAGTCGTTGAAACCACATGCTGTTACCTTCAGAGATGGCCAAGGTTCCTTGGTCAAGAAATGATTGAACACCCAGTCCGGATCCTGGCACAGGAAAACAGAACGACCAAAACAAAAAAGAGATAAGATGAATCATCCTTCCAGGATTCTTAGGGCCGAAGGTCACGAATAAGATGAAAATGGGCAAGGCAATCCTGGCAATCAGCACCAGCCAAGCTTGCATATCCTGTGGCAGTTCCATCGCTCTGTGACAGGTTCACCCGGCAAACCCGATCTGGTGGGTGTAGGGAGGTCCTCTCCTCGATCACAGCTTGTGATGGTTCGATTGCCATCGATGGTTCCTGCAGTTCTCCGAGCCGCAGAAGGACGCTGAACGGTGTGGCGCCACGGTTGAGAAATACGCCACTGGGGGAGGGATCTTCAGTGCCCCAAAAAGGTTCGTGGCGTCTTTTGATCTGCCCCTGCACATGTCTTGAGCTTCTTTGAGTGGCTTCGGTGCATGGTGGGTCTGGGTCTGAATTTGCGACACTGCCATGCACTGCTCCACTTGCTTGTGGCATAGCTGGAATGAGCCAGGAACACTGCGGTGACATGTGAAGACCAGTCTTCGACCAGGAAAGCACATGAAAGCACTTTGATGCACCAAAAACCATCTGCAAGAACCTGCCGGCGAGGTTGGTGCTTTCAGAATATTCATGCATATTCATACAACTCCACTTTCCCAACGTCCGCATGGACTTGGAAAATCGGCCGCTGGACAACCATGTTCCGGCAGCAAAGGTGCAAATTCCGATTAACCATGCGAACACTTGCAGGTAACATCAAATCTTGGCATCACTCTCGAGCCTCGTGAAATAGGCCACGGCATCATCCCCTTGCGTGGGTTCTTTTTTCGCAGGAGCAGCCAACAGTTCCTTGAATTGAAAAAACAAGGGGATGACGGAAGTGCTTCCCTTGATCTTTCCTTCAGTCCAAGGCCTCTCTCTCTAGTGTCTTTCAATTATATCTATCTACATAGTTGCCTCAACTAGGATATTTAAGGAACATTCATTGTTTGAATATGCTTGCCACTGCTTCAAATGGTTGAAGCGTGGTCCGAAAATCACCTCAGTATCACCTCCGACGTTCCCCATCGGAGGGACGCCCAAGATTTTGGCGGACCAGCCCTGTGGAGGCTACCTAGGAGCTAGCTGCAACATGGAAAACTGTCCTTAAGTGGTCATGATGAAGGCTATGCTCTGATCAACATTTCTTCGATCAAAGCTTCATTCCTCCAGTCCAGTCGGATGCATGCCTGTCGTCGATGCAAAACGATATATACTTCTTTCATCTTCTTTCCCTCCAAGCACACCGCGTCGCTGAATCCATCCGCGCTGCCTGTGCGCATCTCGCGCAGTTCCTGTCGGAGAAGCAGCTGGTGTCGATCCTGCCAGTCGGTGCACATGTCTGACGAAAAACAACATGGGCACTTGGAGTGACATACTCTTATAAGGATTCGTAACCATGCACCTTGGGCTTCATTTTTTATATGGCTTCTACCACACCAAGGGATGCTATAAAAATTCTTTTCCAAGCCCGGTCAACTCAACCGATCATGTTGCCCTTTTAATATAAGACAAGGGCCGGCAAGGGCCTAGGGTTTTGCCCAAACACATCCCCAGATTCATGACCCCCACTCCTGCGCTTCCTGGCCACCGATCTCCACACCCTCCGCGGCAGGTGGTTTTTTCCGGGGCTCCAAGGAGGAGACAAAATCGAGACTCTGGCCTATCTTACTTATGTCACGTTGGGCAAGCACACCATGCCGAGCAATTGTATCCTACATTATCCTACGTATTTTCAACATGCATTGCTTAGTCGGCTTAGTCATAAGTTGGGAAGTGATGCTGGGGCACGCCAATTGACATAGAAACAATCTTGCGACTTGAAGTTCACTCTGGCAAGCTTTGATGCTGTCAGACTGCACTGATGTTGACCTTCCAAACCCAACCACTCATCAAATACATACTGGTGACCCTATGAGATACTTGTAACGTCGGAGTTGCCGGGCCAGGCAACTCAACTACTGGATACTCCCAAGATCTCCTGGCTCTGGGTTGGGAAAGATGGATTTTAACTCCTAAGGTCACAGCAAAGTGATCGTAAGAGCTATATGGATACCCTCCGACTCACTAACATGGAAGTTAACAATGGACCCTTGGATGTCTATATATATATATATATTGTGTCTATATTGTACATGTTCCTTTACAGCATCAACATCCCACCAAAGAAGGACCTCACGACCTCCAGTAGTTCTTCAGAACTCTTGGCGCCGCCCACGGCTCTTCTTGGCCGAAGGCGCCGATCTGCGCCGATGCCCAAAGGGGATGTTCCAGAATTGATGTCCCTGCACCATCCAACCTGAACCCCCACGCCGGTCTGAAGTCTCGTCCAGTCCGGTCCATGCCCAGCCCGGTCTTACCAAATGGTAGACCCAGCCTCTGTCCCCGAGGCGGGGCTCGCCGCGCGCAGCTCGCCCTCGTCGAGAACCGGCTCCACCTGGAGGTTGGATGCGTCCGGATCGTTGGGGGAAGGTGAGTAGCAGCAGCCTGGAGATACAGCTTTTTCCAAGTGCTTTTGTTTTAATATCTCTATTATATATATATATATATATGATTTTATGACGTCTGTGTCTTTTCATGTTGCTTCAGCATGGCTTGGCGGATTCTTGGTGCCTGCTGCCTACCTAGTGGGTGATGGATACCTCTTCCTCACCGGATCGGACGGATGTACGGGCGGATCTTTGGCCGGCTGCGCCTGGTAAACGGCCCTTACGGCTCTCAAGGTCTTAGAGCTCACGGCCCGAAGACGTGCAGTGGAGGGCGCCTCAGTCGGCGAGGTTGCACGTCGGTGGCGGGGCGGGGCGCATCAGGCTAGCTTTCAACTGGCATGATTCGTCTATGCAACGTGCTTGAATTACTGTTCCAGGTGTTTCCCAGTGCTCTCCATCCCCTACATCCCCTACAAAGTTCAAAAAATGTTGCATCAAAAGTCCATAAAATTCCCGAACAAAACTTGGATTAGTGATTAGTCAAGCCGGCCTTATCTTATACACTGCTAGTTTGGGAGCATCTATCTGCTTTCTCTCCTTGGGGGGTCTTCTGCATTTGGGTATGGGTGTAGCGAGGAGGCACCTGGGAGGAAGTGCCAGTCTTGGTCAGTGGCATTCGGGAACCATTGATGCTGGAATGGCATGAGTTAGGCCACACTTTACAAGGGAAAACACACATGTTCACACGTGTGGAGGATTTTTGATGTGACATGCCGCTTGCGATCCAAATCCGAGATGGTCCGACCTCCCATCCTTTTTCTCCCCCACTTCCAGCTTCTCGCCTCAGAGTTCCGGGCACTGCGCCTCTCAGGACATCGGCTGGCGGGACCACACCACCACTGCAGCCGTCCCGCCGGAGCCCGAGAGAGGCGGAGCCGTCCCGGAGCCCGCGGCGCTCCTACTCGGTGCCTCATGCTTCATGCGGAACCTTCGCTCCTACGTCCGTTCAATCCACCGGGGGACCTCGCCGGTGTCTGTTTCAGCCTGAACAGACCTGGTTTACATGGCTGGAGTACAAATCCCCAAACATGATCTTCAACACTGGCAATATGGAACTCTGAATAGATTCAGAGCTTCGATGGCACAAGTGACCCCAAGAGACGTTCATTGATCCTCTCGTGGTGGAACCGAAACCAGTCTCGGCTGAAGGATGGAGCGGCGACCGTTTTCGGAGACCTGGAGCTCAGTCTCCAAGTATTCCTCGTTTCTGAGAGTGAAAGTGAGAAGGTTTCCCTGGCTTCTAAGCCCAAAACCAAGGGGTTTTCCAGGCAAATCCCCTCAAACCTTACGACCACTGTGGTCCCACTCGCCCATCTGCCTACTGGAGCATCGTGACATGGCGCCCAGGGACTGCGCGCGGGACTCTATCCTGGGCGTTCGGTGCTTGGGCGCTCGGCAGGGGCGACTTGGCAGGGTGAACCCAGTGGATTTGAACCTATGGAAATGGCCATGACAAAGAAACTGATGATATAACCTTCATGTCAAACATGTGGAACATGTATGAACCTGCAATATTGAAAGCAATATGGATAGGTATATAATATATATATATATATGTGTGTGTGTGATATACATATTATACTACATATTATATAGTACGTGCAACCGAATCATAAATCATAGCTATGTTAACTATAGCTATGTAATCTGATGTAATCCTACCTTGCGCGCGGTTTTTTGCACCAGCCCAAGGTGGCTGGAGTTGACCGTGGAAGATCCAACGCTGGTCCAAGGACCTCCTTCCGATGTCCAGGCAGGTCATCAAGGCTCTGTCGTGATCCAGTAATTCATCCAAGAATGCAGGCTAAAACAACCAAAATGGCTTCACACCAAGCAGGATGGGGCTGCGTCTAGTCTTCACCATTTTAGAAGACTAGAACTTGAGACGGTGTCTTGGACATGGCGTGCCACCATGATAAGCCTGCTGAGCTCATGGAGCCTGAGAACGGGTATGGACGAAACAACACGAAAGAACCTACTTCCAGTAGCCATGATGATCTGAATCTTCTTGCTTAGTGCGAAACACACTAGGGCCCCTGCTTCTGACCGCTTTCATCTGGTGCTCCTGGAGTGTCAAAGAGCTCAGGGACTTCGTAAGGTTCATCAAATTTCCCAAACCTGACACTCAGTTTGTCAACAGCTCTGGCCCCTATGCAATGCAGTCTCAATAGTTTGTGCCGACCATTAACCACCAAATAAAGTTAAACAGTGTCTCATCCATGTCCGATGTCCCATGCACCAATGCACCACAGAAACTGATCCACTTCCAGTACAACAAAAGCCTGAAGATCCCACCTTTTTAAAATATGATCTCCCCACCATGTTAGGCTCCTTGGCTTCGGATCTCAGCTTCATCATCTCTCTTGGCCCTGGCTGTCAAGAGTCCGTTGGTGGGAAAAACACATCCAACGACCAAATGACCAACTGTGTGAAACACGACCCTTATTCCTCAACTGGACTCGTTGCGTGGCCTTCATTCCTTGGTTGCAGGCCTTTCTGTTGCAGTCCACCCAAAGAGTTTCACGGTGGCAGTGAATGATGGTGGCAGGCACCTCAAGTCTTGACATTTGACGCTGGCTTGACCTTGTCAAGCATGAAGGTGGCGTGACTTTGGCGCCACCTTGCGACCTCCCAGCTGAAAAGGATCGACCGTGCATCCTCAATCCGCGAAGCATTTTCTCCTTTCCACCCTCAACACGCGGGCATCGTTTGAAAACGCCACGCGCAGCGCGGGCAGGTACCGTGTCCACTGCTGCTGCTGACCTGGTTGCGGTGCGCCGCTTGGAGTGTTTTGTCCTGTATAGTGT